GGGCCAGCACCAGTCACATAAAGAGTCCATAAGCCCCAATATGCCCACCGACAGTCTTAAAGGGCCATACGCACCAAATAAAAGTGCATACATTTTCACAATCTCCCAGGGGCCATAGTCATGCGGGAGGAGGCTGGCAAGTAGGCTTCTCCACAACCCAGGGAAGCAGGGCAATTTGCCATTTAAAGGGCCCGTTACAAATAGCATTTTGTAACAAGGTGTCAATCCATATCTGCCAAGTGACCCGATGTAGGGGACCAGTCCCTATTCTGCTCTGTGTCAGTGTGTATCAGGGAACCTTAGGACAGGTGTCAATCCATATCTGCCAAGTGACCCGATGTTGGGGTAACATTCCCTATTCTGCTCTGTGTCAGTGTGTATCATGGTCTCTGAGGACAGGTGTCAATCCATATTTGCCAAGTGACCCTATGTAGGGGGACCAGTCTCTATTCTGCTCTGTGTCTGTGTGCATCAGGGGCTCTGAGGACAGGTGTCAAGGTGTCAATATGTCATATGTCAGGTGTCAATCCATATTGATTGTGATTTAGGAATGTTAGGTGATTTCTGCCCTTTATGGATTAAAACCAGACTCTGCATCAACTGTGTAATTTTCCATGGGAGTTTTGCCATGGATCCCCCTCCGGCATGCCACAGTCCAGGTGTTAATCCCCTTGAAACAACTTTTCCATCCCTATTGTGGCCAGAAAGAGTCCCTGTGTGTTTTAAAATTCGCCTCCCCATTGAAGTCAATGGCGTTTCGGGCGGTTCGCCGGTTCGCGAACATTTGCGGAAATTCGCGTTCGCCGTTCGCGAACCGAAAATTTCGGGTTCGCGACATCACTACTAATAATCTTAATTTTAGTAATGACAGGAGGCGAATATTTCCCACCCTATAGGATCCCTCCCATGTTTCTCGTGTTGAACAGAATATGTCCTTTATGTTCAGGAAGGTAAGTATGTATGGTTTGTATGTTTGCTACTTAGACCTGTATCTTGTGGGTCTTGTATTGGCTGAATATTAGACATGAACCTTGCATTATGTTGTGTTTATAGATTCTTAAATATCATTGCGTTAGAATAAATATATATTGATATGTTTCACATTCTAATGTTCGCTGGTATATCAGATGCTTAATGCTTATTGTACGTGGACAAGTTATCACGCCAGATACCTTTCACCTTTTTCTTTTTCTTGCAGCGTGAACGTCTTCTCATCGAGACAAAGATTCACCTTCCATACCTCTGCATCGCGGAACTAATGGAGTTGGATATTCTAATATGTTGTTGAACTGTTGACGTAATATGATTATGTCTCTTGTTGTTATTTATTGTTTCGCTTCAAAGAAAGAGGAAGTGATGTCATAGACAGGGCCTTTTATGGGCATCATAACTTTTTTCTGATTGGTTGTTATGTTTCTATGCTGCTGGAGTTTTCAGTTAAGAAAGATATGCAAATATTCGCCTCCTGTCATTACTAAAATTAAGATTATTAGTACACTAAAGCTAATATAATCTTCAATTTATTATCAAAATGCTGCTATGATCTAGGCAGCTTTTGTGATATTTAACTGGCTAATCGCCGTCTGTCAGAAAACTGTTTTAGCTGAACCATTATCTTTGATCTTTCTGAGGTTAAGTACCATAGAACATTATTAATTATTGTATGTGGAGTTAACCCATGTCGTTAGTTGTACTATCATGTAGGGATTTACTTATCCATATCTTTTAACATATCTTTTATCCATATCTTTTAACTATTGACAGCACTGGTTTAGCAGTTGTCTTATCTCCCCCCCTCTTGCTACAGCTATTAGTGATATATAATATAGTATCACTGCTATTACTTGGGAATACACTGTTATATTGTAGCTAAACAGTATTGCTTCAGCATTAGTATTATTATGTATACACTTTTACAGCTTGTATAAGTAGTCAGAGTTTTACTCGCTGTATAGTCTCCATTTACTCCTGCTGTTCATATTATTTTTCTCTTTTATATTTTTATTTTAGATTTATTTATTAAAAGTCACTTTTTAACCTACAATCTTCTCAGTAAATCATACACAGGTAGAATGGCATTTGTTTCTTTTTTTGTTTATTTTCTATGATATTTACCATTTAGGGGTTACCCCCCTTTTTTTGTGCCCTCTACCTTGTGATATCTAAATTTTGGCCCTAGGTTAATTCTTTTTGTTTTCCTCGTATATTAAATTTAAATGTATGCTGAGCTCATACAGCTTGGCTCTTTCCTCTGCAAAAGTTAATTACTTCAATACCCTCATAACCACACTCTCCTGCAAACCCAAACGACTATTTCACACATTTAACTCTCTTCTTCACCCTGCTGTTCCTCCTCCACCTACTAACTTGACCGCCTCAGACTTTGCAACTCACTTCACCGACAAGATCTCTACAATCATAGAAGAGATCTTTCATCTTTCTTCTTCCCCTACAATACTTCCCCTAACTTTACTCCCTCTGCTGTTCTATGTTCATTCGCACCTGCTACATTGGAAGAGGTTTCTGCTCTGCACCAGTCCTCCCACCCCACCACCTGCTCCATAGATCCAATTCCCTTGCATCTCATCTGTACTCTGTTTATTCTCCACCTCTCACTAAAATTCTCAATCTCTCTCTCCTCCGGTATATTTCCATCACTCTTCAAACATGCAACTGTAACCCCAATTCTAAAGAAGCCCAATCTTGATCCTAACACCCCATCCAACTATCGTCCTATCTCGCTACTGCTTTTTGCATCCAAGATCCTTGAAAGAATTGTGTATGCGAGATTGACAGACTTCCTCGAGTCAAACTCTCTGCTAGACCCGCTTCAGTCTGGTTTCCACGCTAAGCACTCTTTGGAAACGGCACTGACCAAAGTATCCAATGAGCTACTCGCTGCAAAATCTCGTGGTCATTACTCTATCCTAATTCTCCTTTACCTGTTTGCGGCTAGTGATGTCCCGAATGGTTCGCTGGCGAATAGTTCCTGGCGAACATAGTGTGTTCGCGTTCGCCACGGACAGCGAATATATGCGATGTTTGGTCCGCCCCCTATTAATTTACTAATACTAAGTAAAAATTACTTAGTATTAGTAAATTGTGCCCCTACTCGCAAAACCACGAGTAGGGGCATGTATATTAATCAGTGAGCAGCCTGTGGCTGCTCACTGTTAAAAAAAAAGGGTCCCCCCCCGGTGGGGGCCCTAAATACTAATAGGGGGGGACCTATTGTCCCCCCCAGCCCCCACCCCTGAGCGGTGGGTGGGGGCCCTAAAATGAACAATAAGGGTTCATTGTCCCCCTCCGGCCCCCACCCCTGAGCGGTGGGTGGGGGGCCCTAAAATGAACAATAAGGGGGGACCTATTGTCCCCCCCGCCCCCACCCCTGCGCGGTGGGGGCCATATTGATAATGAGGGGGGGACCTACTAGCCCCCCCGGCCCCCACCCCTGCGCGGCGGGTGGGGGCCATATTGATAATGAGGGGGGGGGGGACCTACTGCCCCCCCCGGTCCCCACCCGTGCGCGGCGGGTGGGGGCCATATTGATAATGAGGGGGGGACCTACTGCCCCCCCCGGCCCCCACCCCTGCGTGGCGGGTGGGGGCCATATTGATAATGAGGGGGGACCTACTAGCCCCCCCGGCCCCCAACCCTGCGCGGCGGGTGGGGGCCATATTGATAATGAGGGGGGGGACCTACTGCCCCCCCTGGCCCCCACCTCTGCGCGGCGGGTAGGGGCCATATTGATAATGAGGGGGGGGCCTACTGCCCCCATTACCCGTGGCGGTGGGGGCCATGTGTCATGTGGGGGACCTACTGTCCATCCCCCTCCATTACCAGGCGGTGGGGCCCTAAGTCAATTCCCCCCCCAAGGTGACTAGGGGTCCCCAAGCCCCTAGTCACCCACTCCCCCACCCAAATAAAAAGTCTCTACTTACCCCCCTCACCCTAAAAAATAGTGAGGGGGGAATAAAATAACTAACCTGTAAAATAAAATTAAACTTACCATTCGGCGTCTTCTTTTTTCTCAAATCTTCATTTTTCAGCCCCAAAAAAGGCCAAATAAAAAACCATCATAACATTCGAACTATCAGAAGCGCAAAAAAAAACCAGGCG